ATCCCCGCTGCCCAGCAGGAGAGGGTTTGGTGCCACCCTGCTGGGTAGTGTCTTGCTCTGGATATACCCAGGTCACACCCACCCCCTGCTGAGTTCTGTGAGTCAGAGACTGAATCCTGGGGTGCCCGGGCCAGGCCTTCCCCCTTATGGCCTGGGCCCCAGGACTCTGTAGCCTTCCAGGCCTCCCTTCCAGACCCGTGGACAGGCCTGGCTCCCCTCCAGCCTTGACCAAACTCAAGGCCTTGCCCCAGCCCCTGCCAACCCCTGCCCTGGGGCCCTGCTCTGCCCCTCCCCGGGCCCCTGGGCCCTCAAGCAGCACCCCCCTCCTCCCGGCTGTTAGCCTGGGAAGGGGGCCAGACCCTGAGCTCAGACCTTGGCGATTCCAGAGTGTCTGAGGCCCAGAGCCAGCCCCGCCAGCCCGGCCAGACATGCAGAAGGGGGAGGGGGTACAGGGTGGGCACCAGGAGGCCATTTACAGGGGGGGGGCTGGGCACTCTCCCTCCAGGAGCACACCCGAACCTTCCTCCTCCCCTTCCTGTCCTCATCCCCCCAGTCCTGTTCCTCACCATTACCTTCCTCACTCCCTAGGTCCCAATAAATTAAAAAAGGGGGGGGGGGGAGGCTGACAGGAAAGCTGGTTTCCAGCTTTGTCCTTCCTGCTCCTTTTCAGGGACCCCTCACTGAGCCCCGGCCGACGGAGGGTGCACCAGCACACCTGGGGAGTGACTGGGTGATAGGACCCCCACATGTGCAGGAGGGGCTGGCTGAGGCCTGGGATCCAGCCGCACCGGGACTCCCCTCCGCCGGGGGACGGGGCAGGGCTGCTCCTCCGCCCCGGCCTCGGTTTCCCGCTTCGATGGGGCGGGCCGAGGTCTGGGCCGGCCCCCGCCCCGCCCGGAGGAATCCGGTGGCCCGGCCGCGGCCCAGGTGAGGGCCCTCTGGACAGGGCCCAGCGCGCGGTTCCGGCGGGGCGGGCGTCGGGGTGGGGACCGCCCCCAGCTCCGCTCGCCCGCACCTCCTCGCTCCTCCAGGCGGGAGCGGCGACGCTTTAAGCAGAAAAAAACTGTCTCCCTGGCCGGGGGCCAGC